AGCTGATTTTTTCCTTTTGTTTCTCAATGAGGTGGCACAATAGTATTTTCTTTTCTTTTTCAAGGCAATCCAGATTAAGTGATTTACCCAAGGTCACACAGCTAAGTGTCTGAGGCTGGATTTGAATTCAGGTCTTCCTGACTCCCGGGCCAGTACTCTATTCCCTGCACCACCTAGCTGCCCCCCATAATAGTATTTTCAATCTTTTTTTCACCTATCTATTAAATAACCATGCCTGATCAGGCAGAGGTTGAAGGTGGAGGTGGGAGGGGGTGGAGAAGAGCAAGTTTCATAGATTTAGAGGTCATTGGGCAGTGCAGTATATAGAGCACTGGCCCTGGAAACAAGATCTGAGTTCAAATCCAGCCTCAGACATTAGCTGTGTGAAGCTAGGAAAACCTCATCTTCTGTCTGCCTCATTGGGGATAATAATAACACCTACCCTTCCAGAGATGTTTTGAAGATCAAATGAGATAATACTAGTAATGTTCTTAGCACAGTGCCAGGCACATAGTAGGTGCTTAATAAATGCTTGTTTTCTTCCCTCTCCTCTCTTGCTATATAGTTAAGGCCCTTGTTTTACCAAAGAGACAGAGAGAGAGAGGCCCAAAGAGGGTTTTCATCTCTGATGCTGCATGCTCACTCTCCTGACCTTTTCATCTTGTGTAAGCCTTGTTTATTCTTCTCCATAAATCCTCTATGGGTGAAACCTGCCAATGCATTAGAGGCCTTCCTCTTATTTTTCTCCTGTCTGGGAAACTGTAACACCTGAGTTGGCCAGTTGTTGTTTTTCATTGCTGAGCATCCTTTCCTGGTTATAGTGTTTTTTGATCATGTCTTTCACAGTCACATCTTACCGTAAAGTACATTTAAATACTAAAACACAAATGAATTCATTGAGGTTTTACTATCATGAATAGAGGAATGTAAGTCATTTAATTTAAAACCATACAACGAATTATAGGCAGTTCAGTGTCAGGTCTTAAATGATATCAATGGTAAAATATATTTAAAGAAACTTCAGAAAACTGGAATTATCTACTCAATAAGAACCTTGAAATAATAGGTTTGGGGTTTATAATATACTATATGAAGAATTACTAATTTCATGAATCACAATTTCTGAGTAAATTAAAATCATACTTAGGGGAAGGAGATAAATGCATTATTATTTGGACTAGACCAGTGATTTATTTGTTATGAAGAACTCTTGATGAGCCAATTTCTTCTACTAATTCCCCAACATTACCAGTTGTACCATTTGTAGTTTAAGAGAGTTGCCTAGGGCACTGTAAAGCAATTGACTTGCCCAGGGTCATACAGTTAAGTGTCAGAGGCCATACTTTGGCCCAGGTCTTTCTGACATCTAGACCAGCTATCTGTTCAATATGCCATACTTCCTCATAACCCAATTAATCAAACAAGCATTTATTAAGCTCTTAATAAGTGCCAGGCACTGTGTTAGGTACTGGGGATATAAATATAAAGAATTTTTGAAAAAATTCCTATACTGGAGGAGCCTATAGACGTATTATACTGACTCAATGTTATCATTTCTGTTATTTGGTACACTGTTCAGGTTTGCCTCAATTTCAGACACCTCTAAAATACAGGAAAGTGGGAATTATGAAACATAAATAAGGGAACAGTTGTTAACTTTAAAACGGGATTCTGTGCCTTAAAAAAGATTCACTTTGGAATTTATTTAAATAATAAACTTCCTTGCTTTAAAGATTTGTGATTTCATTTGTGCAAAACATCTATAACTCGGTAAATAGATTTGTAGAGCTGCTGTGGCTCAAAAATTCATTCCCCTGATGCCAAACGAAGACGGTGAAGCCCTTTGCTGGGCCTTTCCAGTGGAAATACCACCCCTGTAGTGCAGGGTCTCATCATCAAACATCAGGATTTATTGCAATAGCCTGCTGTTGGGGCTGCCTGCATCAAGTCTCTCCCCACTCCAATTCTTCCTTCATTCAGCCACTAAAGTGATTGTGACCAATGAGGCATGCCATGATTACAATCTGCTCCCTTTTGGTGGTCAAATTTTGGATACAAAAATTCAACTTGAAACTTTGAAGTAGTTCATAAAACATTAGCTTATGAAGGAATGTTGGAGATGACAGAGAGTGTGATACAATGGAAAGAGCCCTGGGTTTGAAGTCAGATGATATTAGTTCAAATCTTCATTTATTATGTGATTAATCTTGGGGAAAATCGCTTAATGTCTCTGGGTTTCAGCTTCTCATCCGCAAAATGAAATGATTGGGCTAAGTGATTTCTAGCGTCCCCTTCTTGCTCCAGATTCTATGGCCAACCCCAACTCCCTCATTTTACAAATAAAAATTCACACGGTTTTGAGGTTCACAAAGTACTTTCCTCATAATTACCCTGTGAGGTTAAGTAGTACAAGTATTGTGATTCTTATTTTACTGATGGGGAAATTTAGGCCCATAGAAATCAGTCTCAGTCTCAGGGCTGGGCTTAGAACACAGAATTCTTCTGATCCCCAAATCCAGTCCTTCCCCTCCACCCCCCAAACATCCATGCCTTGGATTTGGAAACTGAAGCCATCTAAGAATGTGAATTGTTATTCAGCTAGGTAGAGCTAGAACCAGAAGCCTGGTTTCCAAACCAGGCTAGAAATCTTTCTATGCTGCCTCTCACACAAACTGTTTTGGCAGGGTCTGACAAAACCTTGAAGGTCTGTTCTCATACCAACCTTGATCTTCGTGAATTTTGGTAAACTGTAGAAGATAGTAATGGATTTAGTATTCTTGATGATTTTATATTTAGCCTTCATAAATGAATCTTTCTACTATTTATGCTTCAATGATAACTCTAAAAAGTGTAAAAAAAGTAAATTTCCAAGCCAAAAAGACAAAAATGGACACGTAGTCAGATAAACTTCTTAGGAGGAAAAAAAATCGAATTTATAAGCGCTCCTAGGCCCAAATAGCAATGTGATATCTTTCCTTTTTAAAATATTTACCAAGTTCCCAAAAGGTGTCCTGTGCCCCAGATGATACTCTTGTAGACTGTGTTGTAGAAAGAATCTAGGGTTTAGAATCCCACAGAATTGAAACCCTCATTCCTTGACCTGATCTTGGGTGAATCTCTTCATTTCTCTAAAACTAGTTTGGTTCCTCATCTGTAAAATGGGGATAATCTCACAGGATTGTGGTGAGAAGAAAAAAAAACCCGTTTTGTCAGCCTAGTAGAAACATGATCCAGGAGGCTGAATAACCTACCTCAGAGCCTTTGAGGTGGAAACAGTTGAAATGAATCTAGCTGGCTTCAAAATAGCTCACTCCTCTGATTGGATAACCTTAATTGTCAGAACTCTTCCTCAGAAGAGGGTGGTCCAGTCCTTTGTAGGCAAGGCTGCCTCCAAAGTAGGGGTTCCACTTTTCCCTAACCACATAATGGGTGTATATTAGGTGGGAACCACCTCTGCAAGAAGCCTTTTCTAATCTTCCGTGTCTTCAGTCTGGGGTTATCTCCAATTTATCCTGTATGTATATATGTAGCTCTTTTCTCTTTCTCTCTGTCTCTCTTTCTTTCTCTGGCACATAATTGTGTGCATATTTTCATCATTAGACTGTCCTTAAGAGCTGGGACTTTTTTTTTTGCCTTTGTTTCCCCAGAACTTCAGAGTACCTAGGACATAGGAGCTTAATAAATAACTTGACTACTGCTCTGCCTTATTTCTTACCTAGCCTTAATCACTGAATGAGGGGTTGCCTCAAATCCTGACCTGTCAGAGAACCGAGCTTATTAAAGCTAAGGTCTCCTACTGCATCCAGGGGCCATCTCCGGTCGTCCTGATCTATATCTTGCCACTGGACCCAGATGGCTCTGGAGGAGAAAGTGAGGCTGGTGACTTTGCATAGCTCTCTCTCACTTAAATCTAACTCACTTGCATGTTCTGGCATCACATCTTCCAGAAAGAAAGACAAACAACAACTCGACTACCAGATGGACCTTGGGGAAGTCACTTCAGTCTCCCGGGACCTCAGTTTCTTCATTTATAAAATAAACTCGTTTAACTGCCCTAGGTCCCGTCCAATTCTAAAGCCTAGAAGCCATACCCTACACCTTTCCTGCCGAACTGGGACTATTTTTGGATATTCTACCTCGGCCACTACTCTACATTTATTAAGTGCTTAATTTGTGTTAAGTCCTGGGAAGAAGACAAGCGAACAGGTCGAAATGCAGTAATGTCACATTAGTGGAGTTCCAGAAAGGCAGAGTTAGATGGGAGATTGCTTTTACTGGGACCTAGAGGCCCCCCAAAATGCTCCTGTGTAAGGCAAACCCCAAAACAAAGTAACCTCATAAAAACCTTGACAAAAGCAGGATTTGGGATGGTCGGGGCGCGGAATTCTATTGCAGGATGCAAAGAAAATGCAAAACCATTTATCAAAGCATCCCCACTGTTGCTCCGCCGCAGCTCAGGCAGAGGGCAGGAGCGGACCCGTCACTAACGCAATGTGCCTGGACTCCTAAGAGGTGCTAAAGTGATACAGTCGCAGCTTTCTGCAGAGCACAAAAGAAAAGCCAGGGGAGTTCGGGTCTGCCAGGCCGGGCTAGGTTTCGGGAGGGAAACGGCCAGGGCGGGGAGCCGTGAGCTCTTAGCACACTGCCTGGGGTCAGACGCACGGGCGTCTGCGAGGGCGAGATAAAGCTGGGGCAAAATAAGAGCTACAACCAGCCCCTGGCGTCGGCCCCGCCCCACCCTGCAGATCTCGGTCTTGACCCGAAGCTCTCTCGCTGAGGGCGGGGCTCTTTAGGAGGGGCCGGTGGAGAGTGTGAGAGAGACAAACACACATCCTGCACACGCCAGGAGCCCTCAGCCAATCGGCTGCAAGGCGGACCATTCAAACCCAAGGCAGGGACCAATCGGAATTTTTGGCGCCACCGCCCGGCTGCACGTTTTGGGGCTGGAAGAGGAAGGGAAAGAGGGGCGGTGGCGGTGGCGTGGAGGGAGCGCGCGCGCGCGCGTCCCAGGAGGGGCGGAGGCAGCGAGCGCCACGGGAGCGCGAGGCGCGAGAGCGCGGGCTGGAGGCTAGTCGCGCGCCCGGAACCGCCGCCGCTGCCGGATTGACTTTTCTGTACTTTTTTGGATGTTTGTGTCCCCGTTCGAGCCTCGGCTGCAGGTAGGGACCCCCCCCATCACTTCCCTTCCTTCATCGGCCAGGTGAGGGGAGGTGGGTCCGGAGGCCTCTCCTCATCCCGTGTCCTCCGGACTGCGTCCGGTCCCCCACCCCCAGGATCGGGCGGGGAGCAGCCGCCGAAGCGGAGCTAGGGTGGCCCCGCAGTCCCCCGCTCCAGGGGGCAGGCTCCGGGTTGGTGGTGGGCGCCGCTGCCTCGATCACGGTGGGGGGAGGAGAAGGAAGCGACCCCCCCCCGGCCGAGAAGAGATGGTTCCTCCCCTCTTCTACCCCCCCCCCGCGGTGGTTTAAACTGTCCCGGAGCCCTACGCCTCCTGCAGCTGTGGCTCGCGCTCCCCGGGAGGGGGCTGGGACGGGGGGCGAGGGGAAGGGTCCTCCGCCCCCCTCCCCCTTCCAGCTCGGCTCCCATCCCTAGGCTGCCACCCGCGCCGCGGGGAGCCTTTAAGTGACTGACTGGGGCTTTAAATGACTGACGTTTTCCCTCCATTTCGGCGGCGCTCCGCGGCGGGAGGGGGGCTTTCTGGGGTCCCTGCCTCCCGGGGCGCGTCCTCCGGCCGCCAAGCCTTTATTTATTGCTCACACCACCCACCCTCATTCTGTACCCTTTTTTTGTGGTGGTGATGTGGAGGAATGGAGACAGATAAGCAATGGATTCTGGAAGTAGTTCAAAATCTATCTAGGGGTTGGGGGAGGCGGTCCTAGAGAGGGGTGGTCGCCGAGCTTGACCTGTTTTTTGTGTTTATGTCATCAATTCAAGGCCACGAGCTTTTAATGTAACACCTGCTAGGTGACAGGCAGCGTATTAAATGTTGAAGATACCAGAAAAAGTCAAAGACAGCCCCTGCCCTCGAGGAGCTTATAGTCTAATGGGGAAAGGGGGGAACAGTCTGCCTACGACTGTGTACAAACCAGCCCGATCTCGGATCTCTTGGAGAGGATCGAAGGGAGAGCACTAAGTTTAAGGGGGGATGGGAAAGGCTTCCTAGGGAAGGTGGGATTTTCACGCAGTCTTAAAAATAACGTGGGAGAAGCCTGGGGACCGGAGAAGGGGAGAAAAGAGTGTTTACGGCGGGATCTGAGAGGGTGAAAATGTGCGGAGATGGAGAAAGGTTTTTTTTTTAAAACTCCTGTTAGTGCGCGTGGATTTGTGACTCTGATTAAAGAAAACAAATTGTCGATGTATTTTGAAATGCCCCCTTAGAGATGGGATGTTGGGTTCACTGTTAGAAAGAAGGACGGGATCCCTCGGCGGAGAGCTTTGTGGGCGAGTTCTTAACTTCTAAAATACTATTTTTTTGGTAAACTCTTTGAGGGCAGGGACTGACTATGTTGCCACTTTTTGTATCCCCAGCGCTTAGCACGCAGTACTTGGCACATGGCAGTACTTAATATTTATTGACTTCATATATGTCATATTAATATATATTTCGTAATGATGCCAGTTTGTGATTAAATCTTGACATGGCGTTTAACATACTATTATCCTCGAAAAGTACTTTTGAAAGGATACTGGAGAAGTGGAAAGAATTCTTGTGTCTCTTCATCTCTGTGCTTGAGCTTCCTTTCCCTCCGTCTGTAAAGTGGGGGTAATTATACTTGATAATTAAGCTTGACTGGGTTGTTATGAAGAAAGTGGTTTGCAAATCTTAAGTCGCTGTTATATGTAGGAGAGTTATTATGGCAGAGAAGTGCTTAATTAGCAGGAGTTTGCTCTGCAAGGCACTGTTCGAAAAGGATTATAACATCTGGACCTTGCTGGTTAAGTTGATTACTTGCTGAAATTGATCCCTGCTTAGAGGACTTGGAGATGGCAGAGTAGAAAAGCTAAACTAGCTCATGAATGGACACAAAGGTAACTTCCTCTTTCGAACCTCTGATACTTGTCACAAGTTAGCATTCAGTTCGACATTAGTTGTGTCTGTACCTGCTTGTCATTTATAAAGTGAATATAATATGGAATAGGTATGTTTTATGGGGATACTTTTTTTTTTTAGCTGAAGGTAAAGGCCACTGCCCATTCCCCCTTTTTGGTTTGGGGAATCCACGAGAAAACTAGGTCATTTGATTTTATAATGTTTTTAATTTCATTCTTCCTCTTGCTGATTATTGGAGTTAAAGAAGAATAACAAGGTCAACTCCTTGAAGTAATCCTAAGAATTAGAACTTATGACAAATATATTCTTAGGAAATTACAAAAGACATTTATGAGGCAAACTGTTTTAGCATATCAAGAATTTATTGCAGAATGTTATAATACCCCTGACATTTTTCCACTATTGATTAATCCAGCCCCTCTTTAAACCTTTACAAATGTAGAGCTATGACATGTAGAATTGAAGAAGTGTTAAGAGATCAGTCTGTTTTCTTTTCAGTCTGGTTTTTCACAGTGCCACCTTTAAGTTAAGAGTTGAACATCTCTAAACTTAAAAAGTGTTTTTTCCCCCCTAGTTACTTTGTTACTTAGATCTCCAGGCATTTAAAAAGACAAAGTCGTTTTAAAAAAAAAATCCATGACAAAGCCTTTCTAGTCTTGAAAGTGGAGGCAAGCTATAGATCAGGGATTCTTAATCTGGAATCCATGGACTCTTAAAGGATGCTTGGATAGATTTCAGGAAGTCCCTGAACTTGGATGGGAAAAAAAATAACATCTTTATTTCAATTTAATTTGTTTTCTGTGTAATCCTTAGTATTTTATTTTGTGCTTTTAAAAGAACATTATTCTGAGTAGGAGTCTTTAGGTTTCACCAGATTGCCAAAAGGGGTCTACAAAAAAGTTTAAGAACTGCTGTAGAGACTTCATTTGAATGCAAGAAAAGTTAAGAACTATTAACATTTTGAAGTCAAATTTTTCTGGGAACTAAGTAGACTTGGGGTTTAATGGAGAGAAGAGTTCCAGGGGAACAGTAGGAGTGAGGATATTGAACTTAATGTACTGAATTTTGTCTTCCAATCAAATTTGACTGAATTGAGTCTATTCAAGAATACCCGAATATACACATGTATCTTAACCATTTTCTCCATTCAGATAAAGGTGTACATAAGCATGCGCAGTAATTATAAATTCTGTGTCTTGTTTTTTTGTTCTTTTTATCTCTCTAACTAAACACCAAATTGGAATGTGACTGCTATTTTGTAGTGAATGGCAGGGAAAAGGACTTGTAAGATTTTTTAATTTCTGTTCTAAAATCTGTCTGGGAAAAGATGAGTTGCTTTGTAGAATATGGTTTTAGTGCTTGGGGAAAGCAGGATTATGCAAAATATTGCTGAGATATTTTGAGGGGTTGGTTTACATATCAGGTAGCTGGAGAGGGCTCTGTGTAGAGGAAAGGATGGTAGGATCAGTGAAAGTACTTGTGTCCAAATATTAGCTATGTGACTTAGTACCTGTAATCTTGGACAAGTTGATTAACCTCTGGGCTTCAGTTATCTTCATATGTAAGGAGATAGACGAGATCAGTGGTGTGAAATTCAAATAGATATGTATCCCTTTGGACCATATATTGACTTAGAAAACTTCAAATCAACGTTATCTATGTTAATTTTTTATCTATTTTATTAACTATTTCTCACATTTTAATAAGTTTCTGGCTGCACTAGGAGTATTGTGGGTCCTGGGCACGAGTGTTTGACAGCCCTGAACTAGATGACCTATAATGTCTTTGCATCCCAAAATTTGAGTCTGTTTTAAGCTCAAAAATGCATGACTAGTATGGTAATACTCTTTAATTTAAATGAAGCTTGTGGGCACTTGATGATAGAAAATATAGTAGAAAAAGACTTGAAACAATTTAAGTACTTGTAAAAAATGTGTGGTTTGTGTGTACAACTTTTGAGATACCTATGGCATGTATGTATACTAGCTCTGGTTTTCTCTTTTTATTTATTTTTTGGTGCTTCTAGAAACTTAGCATTACTGCAGAGGACTGGGAAAAGACTTAGATATTGCTGTCCTAAAAAAAAAGTGTGAAAGTGCTTCTGTCTTTATGTAGAACAAAGGAAGTGCTTGTTTAACTTTAGGTACTGAAAATTTCCTTAGTATTTTACCTTTTTTTCTCATGATATTCCAAACTCCACCACTTAGCCTCTCCTAGCTTTGTATATTTTTTGTTTATGTTGTGTGTGTACTACTCTGTACCTTCTTAAATTATTTTGTCTTTCCAAAGATTACGAATAGATTAATTTTGTTTAGTTGGAGGAAGAGCATCTTCATGGCACTAAGACTGTGTTTGAATATCTCTTCCCTTGTGGCTGTAAGAATACAGCAGTGTCTTCATTAAGCAGGAAGTTGCAAAGTCATGTTTTAGGCACCTTTGAGAGTGCTGGATGTAACAAATTCAATTTAATGGGCATTTATTAAGTACCTTTGTGCAAGACTTTGTTAGCACTGAGGACACAAAGACAAAACTGAAACAGCCCTCATCCTTGAGGAACTTAAATTCTTTTGAGGGGTAGGACATATAGCAACTAAAAATAGTTCAAGGAAAATTTCAGTGGTAGGGAGCACTAATAATGCCTGTGAGGATCCTGTAAAGTTAGGGGGAGGAAGTGGTACCTGATTGAACCTGGAAGGTAGAGACAGCTTGTAGAAGTGCAGTATTGAGTTTGGAGAATGGGGTTCGGATTGGGTCGGAATGTAGAATTTGTAAAGGGGAGTGGTCTGAAATAAAACCGGAAATATAGGTGAAATTGTGGATAGTCTTAAATGGCACACCAAGGGAAAATTTGTATTTTTCTTCAAAATTTCCTCAGAAATTTCTTCAAAATATCATGTAGGCAATTGGGAGCTACCGAGCTTTCCGAGAGAGGAAAGAAGCTACAATACTTTTTATGATCATTATGTATTCTCTTGATTATTTGACATTATTACATTTACTTGATGTTATTAATGAATGTTGATGTTTATATTACTTGATGATGGTTATGTGCAAAGTTGTATGTGAATTAAAAGCAGCATGGTATAATAGACAGGGCATCCCTTTGAGAGTCCGAGGAGGACTTGGCTTGAAGTCTTGCCTTTGCTATTTGCTGTCTGTGTGACACTAAGCAAGTTGTCTTGCCTCTCTGGCCTATGCTTTTCCCATCTATAAAATCTTTTTAGTTTTCCCTGAACTTGGGGACTTTATAAAAAACAATCCCCCTCAGAGGCAAAATAAAATGATAGAGAGGTTGGCAGTAATTCTTTTCTATTATGTCATATAAATATCTTTTTAGTTAGTTAAAATGTTGATTTCAAAAACCCTCTCCAGATACAAATCTTATGAAATCAGTACTGACTTGCTTTTCAGACCTTATTTGAAAATTCTTCCACCGTGACCTAGTTATCACTAAAATCACCTAATTTTCTATACTAATAGTTATCAAGATATAAAATGTTAGTTTAACCACCAAAAAATATTACCTATGTTAATTATCAGTTAACTATTGAACATAATTGAAGGCTTTCCTGATCCTGCTAGTTGTTCCTGCTCTCTCTCTCTCTGTCTCTCTCTCTTTCTCTCTCTTCAGATGAAGATGTACATACTTACTAATCACAAAGCATTTATTAAATCTGCTATGTTCTGTGTACTGTGTTAATTCCAAGGGATTCAAAGATAACTTAGAAAGTCCTGGTAGTAAGGAGCTTATACTCAAACAAGGGAGATTGTATGTGTATGTAGGTATATGTGATGCCCATTTACACTATATATCTTGTATGTACATAGTTGTTTGCATGTTGTCTCCCTTAATAAAATGTGAAATTGAGGGTGGGGATCTTGTTTTTGCCTTTCAGTAAGTCATTTATTAATTCCCTGTTATGTGCCAAGCAATTTAGTAAATGTTAGGGGTAAAAAGAAAAATTAAAAAAAGAAAGTCCTTGCTCCCAAAGAGCTTACAATCTAATGGGAGAGATAATATGCAAACAACCATGTACAAACAAAATAGATATGGAATAAATTGGAGATAATCACTGAAGGAATGCACTGGAAGAAGTGTTGAGGAGGAATCAGGAAAGGCTTCTTAAAGAAGGTGGGATTTTAGTTGAGACTTGAAAGAAGTGAGGAGGCAGGATATAGTGTTCCAGGCACAGGGGACAGCCAGTGAAAATTTTGGGAGTTGGAGTTTCTTATGCAAGGAGTAGCAAGGAAGTAAGTGTCACTGGGTTTAAGAGCATGTGGTGAGGAGTAATATGTAAAAGAACATGAAACGTTGGAAAGGGTGAGATTATGGGCTCTGAATGCCAGAGAATTTTATATTTGATGCAAGAGTAATAGGGAGCTATTGGAGTTTATTGGATAGGATGTGACATGGCCAGACTTGCATTTTAGGAAGGTCAGTTTGACAGCTGAGTGAAGGATGGTCTGGAGCAGGGAGAGATTTGAGGCAGGGAGAAGCAACCAGACGGCTTTTGTAATAGTTCTCTTGGGATGAGATTTGAAAGGTGCTGATGGGGTCAGAGGAGAGAAGGGGGCATATATGAGAGATATTATAAAGGTTGAATCAACAGGGTTTGGCAACTGATTGGGTATGGGTGGTGACAGAGCGAAAAGTTGAGGATGATACTTTATTTGCAAGCCTGATTGACTTGGAGATGGTGGTTGCCTTGACAGTAACAGGAAAGTTAGGAAGAGGGGATAAAGAGTTCAGTTTTGGACCCAGTGAGGTTAAGTTGTCAGTGGGACAATCCAGTTCTAAATAGGCATTTAAAAATAGGCATATTAAAACAGGCATTTTAAGTTGTGAGACTGGAGGTGAGGAAAGATTAGTGCTGGATAAGCAGTGCATAGAGATAATAATTGAGTTCATGGGAGGTGATGAGGTCATGAAGCAAAATAGTATAGAGGAGGAAAAGGCCATTAAATGTGGCAATTAAGAGGTCGTTGGTAGCTTTGGAGAGAGCATCATCAGTTAAATGAGGAGGTCAGAAGCCAGACTGCAGAAAATAAGAAGAGAGGAGAGGAAAGAAGTGGAGGCACCTATTGTAGACAACCTTCTTAAGGAGTTTATCCACAGAAGGGAGGAGAGATTATGAATGATGGCTAGTGGGGGATTGAGAGATCAAATGAAGGTGTTTTGAGAATGGGGATGACTGGGGCATATTTGTAGGCAATAAAGGAGCCAGTAGATAAGGAAAGATAGAAGATTAGTGAGAGAGTAGTAAGGCTGATAGAAGGAGCAGTTTTCTAGAGAAAACAGCTTAGAATGGGATCACTTGTGTGTCTAGAAGGGTTTTCCTTAGGAAGAAAAAGGGCTACCTTTTCATGTGAGACGGGGGTTGAAAGAGGAGATAGTGGTAGAGGGCATCAGTTCGATGTGAGATGAAAAGGTGGGGGTAAGAGGGAACTCTCAGAGAATGACCTCAGATTTTTCTGTGAAATATGAGGCGAGGTTCCCAGATGTGTAGGGGAAGGGGGAGCCATGGGAGGTTGAGGAGTAGTGAGAAATTTTGGGAAACTGCTGTGGTCAGTGGGATCTTGAATTGAGTAGGGAGTTGTGAAAGGATTGCCCTATCTCAGTGAGGGCCTTGTTGAAATTTATTAACATAAATTTGTAGTGGACCCAGTCAGTACAGTTTTGTTTTTCTCTAGCTTTGTTCAGCAGCACATGAATAAGAGCAAAGCTAGGGGATAGTGGGAATAATCCAAGGCTGAGACTTATTAGCAGGGCACCATTAATAGGCAACAGAGAAGCAGATCTGTGAATATACAAAGTATTTAAGTTTAGGTATTTAAGTGGCAGGTGAGTGTTGAGCCTAGTTTTTGAAGGAGATAAAGAAGTTTTTTTGTTATGATGGCACCATACTGTGACACCAGAGAATTCCATATGATGATCTAATAGAGAGAAAGTACCTACTTAAGCAGAGAACCACATGGATTATAGTGCAGGTTGAGTTAACATTGTAATTTGAGTTTTATCTCATTTCATAGGCCTACAAATAAGAATTGAAAATGTTATCCCAACTCTGGGCAAATTGGCGTTCCTTTATAGATTTGGAGAGACTTTTTTTTTGCAGTGGTGGATTTTTATCATGTAAGTGGAAAGTATTCGTTAACACAGGTGTCTTTATATGATTTAGACCTAACACAGTGCCATATTATCCTTTATAAAGTAGACCTCAGAATGGTATGGTATAGTGAAAAGAGTACTGGCCTAGTCTAAGCTTGGCCCTTGATTTTACTTTTATTATTGTTGCCTTTTTTATATCTTGTGTTCATTTCTGAGTATATTTATCCCTTCTACCCCTCATGCCTTCACTTGGAAAGAGATAAAAAAATGCCTAAACCCAAGAGTTCCGTAAAACCAACTCCTACATGGCCTGCCTCTGACAGCATATGCAGTATTGCGAAAGGTTTACCCTCTCCATCTCCCCACTCTCATCTCTCCAGTTAAAAGAAGGGGGGCTTAACTTTAATGTGGCTTTGTGACCTTTTGAGCCTCAGTATTCTCATGTGTAAAATGATGTAGTTGAAAGATATGTGATTTCTAAGGTCTGTGTTATTTAATCATAATATTTTAGAATTGGGTAAATTAATGACATAAATTTAACATTTCAGAAAGTTACATATTATCTAATAGTTAAGCATTGTTTTGGGGGGGTAAGAGGGGTGCTATTAACTGGTACCTTGGAGCTCTTTTATCCCCTTTTTAATTCCTTTAAAAATTTTATTATTTTTAACATTCTTTTTTAAAACATTTTGAGTTCCAAATTCTCTCCTTCCAGCCCCTCTCCCAACCATTGAGAAGGCAAGCAATGTAGGAAATCTGGCAAAACATTTCCGTATTAGCCATGTTGCCCCCCCCAAAAAAAGGCAAGAAAAGTAAAGTGGGGAAGTATTTCAGTTTGTACTCAGTTTCATCGATTTTCTTTTTGCAACATTTTTCATTCTCTTCCCTTTGGAATTGTCTTTGGTCATTGTATTGATCAGTAGCCAAGTCTTTCACAGTTAATAATCATTAAAATACTGCTTTTACTGTCGACAAACACTTATTAAGGTCCTATGTGCCAGGCACTGTGCTAAGCACTAGGGATACAGAGAAAGGCAAAAAACCAAACAGCCCCCTACCTTCAAGGAGTTCCCGTTTTAATAGGGGATAATACATTTTAGATAATTAGGTACATACATGATATGTACAGGGTAGATGAAGGTAATCTTAAAGGGAAAGCATTAGCAGCTGAGGAGGTGGGATTTGAGCTGAGTCTTGAAGGAAGCCAGGGAAATAGAGCAGGTGAAGGGGAGGAGGGGAGTGTTTCAACCGTAGAAGACATCCAGTAATAATAGAAAAGGAAGAAATGTCAGTTCTGCATATACTTATTCCAAATGTTGTTTAAATTGTTTTTCAGATTAATTTTAGAAAATGCCAAGCAGGAAATTTGCTGATGGTGAGGTAGTAAGAGGACGTTGGCCTGGGAGTTCACTTTATTATGAAGTGGAAGTACTTAGCCAAGATAGCAAATCCCATCTTTATACTGTGAAATACAAAGATGGAACTGAACTTGAATTGAAAGAGAGTGATATAAAGGTAAGTGCTGTGTTTTTGTACCAAGGCATGTTTAAGAAATAACTACAAATATTATTGGTGTCTTATTTAGCTCATTAGGAAAATGTTATGTTATTTGAGACTCTTTAAGATAGAGGTGGGGAACTTTGGAGCCAGTGATCCACAAAAATATAAATTACCAAGGTGAATTTTTTGAGAGAGAAGTAGAAAGCTTTCCTCTTGTGTTATCTTATTATTAAAATGACAAGAAACACAAAACGTTCTTCAGTAAATATAACAAATAATGTACTTCCTTAGTATTCCTAGTTAATTAAAGAGACAAAGATGCACAGAGAAGAGTGGCATGGATAAGAAGTACACTTAGTGGGATGTTGATATCCTCTAACAGCCTTTTAGGATATTGTAATCAAGATTTACAAAGCTTTGTTGTGTTTTCACAACTGGGTATAAAAGATGACATCAGTCCCTTGCTCTCTCTACTTCTCAAGTAAAAGTTGTCAACAAGTATTAAACTTATGTGCCAGACTCTGGCATTGGGGATGCAAAGAAAGATGAGAAACATTCTCCATGTTGTGCCCTGCTTTTGTCCTCTCCCCCCAGTCTCTCTAGGTGCTACAGCACAGTCTGATTCAGGGGACAGTGTGCCAACAACTATATACAGACTGGACACAGGCAGGGTAAATTTGAGATAACGTCTGAGGGAAGGCACTAAAATAAAGGAAGGCTAGGAAAGGCATCTTGAAGATGATGGGACTTTAGATTTAGAGATGAGATTAAGCCAGGAGGCAGGCATGAGGAGAGACCGGTTCCAGGTAGCAGGGCAGCCAGTGAAAATGCCCAGTCAGAGATGGAGTGTTAGAAGGCCAGTGTTGCTGGATCACAGAGTAGGTGGGGGTGAATAAGACGTAAGAGGACTAAGAGATAGGAAGGGGCCAAGTTATGAAGTGCTTTCAGAGCCAGAGAATTTTGTATTTGATCCCAGAAGTAATAGGGAGCCATTGCATCAGAGCTTCCCAATCCCTTTAATAATAACTGAGATTTAAAACTAGAGAACCAAATGTAAAACAGGTTGTAGTTATTCTCTACTTTAATAGAAATTTATAGCCTGAGAAATTTGTTTTCCGAGATTCTTCTTGATTAGACTAGTCTAGCTTCTCTCTATCTTATGTGGAAACTAATGGTTCTCAGATGTGCTTCCTCATTAGGATGAAGGCCAGCAGTTCCAGCTGTGCTTTTGATGTGTCGGGTTTGAAAATGTAGTTTATGGTTAAGATTTGTCTTTTTAAAGTAAGTTATTATGAAACATCAATTAAGCAATGAGGCATTTTACATTTGTTTTCAAGCCATACTAATGTGTTTTGTGTATGTCAGTTGTGAATGAAAACAATTTTCACTGGGCTGTTTGAGTGGGCCAGGTACTTATTGCTTCCAGTGGTTTTTATCAAAGATTCTCAATCTCTATTATCTTAATGATAACATGTAGTTCTACTGAAAAGATTCAGCTAAAGATTAATTAAGTTATGTGGGCTGAAAAAAATCCAGTCATCTTGATGTGTATGTGTGGGGTCTTTCAAAGAGTAGATTGAGGTAGTTAGTATATGACTATATTTAGCTGTGATGGGGGTATTGATTGATACAATTTTTTCATAAGTCCTAAACAGCCTAATGCTACATTTAAGAGGTACAGTAAATATTTTGCGTATTTAATAGTAGTAGTTACTTGTTGAGGCCATGTTTATGAATGAACCTATTTGTTTTCCTTTTAAACAAGTCTGTCTGTATCTCTATTTTTTATACATTTATCTTTGTACATCGTACATTTGTACAACTAACTAGGATTTCTTTTTCTCTTCCTTTCTTCACCAACTTCTTATAGCCTTTAACATCATTCAGGCAAAGGAAAAGTGGCTCTTCTTCTAGTTCTCCTTCTAGACGCCGGGGAAGTCGATCTCGTTCTCGATCTCGCTCCCCTGGCCGTCCCCCAAAAAGCATACGTCGTTCTGCTTCCCAGCATGCAGAGACTAAAGAGAAGAAAGAAATTGTGGAAATCAACTTGTCTCCATTGGTATTGGAACTTTTCTCATGAAGACTTTAAGATTGAACTTGATAATATTTATAATTATTTAGTATTCTCATAGTGAATTTTAGCTATGCAAGTTGCCATCAAAACTTTAACATGCTGTAGCCTTTTTCTTTCTGAAGACCTTTTGTACATGTTTATTCATATTATTTTTATTTTTGATGTGGACTTGTAATTTCATTAGTGTAGAGAGCACTGGATAAGGAGGCTCCTTTAGCTTAGCATCTTTAGAGTTTTCTGGGCAACTGAGAGTTTGACTTGTCCAGATTCATATAACTAGCGCATGTCAGATCTGGAAGTGAACTTAGATCTTTTTGATTTTGAAGCTAGTGTGCTGCGGCTACACTGTGCTGCCTTTAAATAATACTAACCTTATTTATAGTTATACAAAATTGTGTGTTTATCACCACAAATACAAGGTAATAAATTGCAAAGTTATAAAAAGTGGTGATGGAGAAAAAAATTTCTTCGCTTTATTTAGAAAGGATGATTTCAAATTGCAAGTCACATGTAGGTGTTTCTAGTATTACAGTTTTGAAATCATTTTAAAATAGACTTAGCTTATTCCAGAGTAAATGAAAAGAAACAAAACTGACTTATTGGAATTAATTTCTGCTTAGTTATGAGCATGTCTTAATTCATGTACATATTTGTGTGACCCATAATGGCTGTGAAAAAGGAGTCCAGAGATTTTGGGGAGACCATGGGCAAGTCATTTTTGGGTTTCTCTTTCCTCATCTGTAAAATGAGGTCAAAGTAGGTGATCTCTAAAGTCTCTTTTAACACTTTAAAATTCTGTAATCTATCTTTTTTGATATAAATGTTTATAGTAAATAGAGCAAATTTTAGCCTCATTCTAATCTGTCAGCATCAGTAATCAAAGGTGATGCCGTGAGGCTGTTTTTAATTACATGTTAGTAAATACATTGAATGTGAATGTAATCAACTAAACATGCTTAATGTAACCATTTTTATTTAAATTGTTACATAAAAATAAATAAAGCATTATAACAACTTTAGTCATGTCATCCCATCAGGATTCTTTCTATAATGATTATTTCCTAAGTGTGCACACACTAAAATATCACTGTGCCCAGCAACAGTTTGCATAATGCATAGGTGAATATAGAGTTAGCATCTGCTTTTTTAAAAGTCCATTTCTGTTAATGGCTGTTATCCCCCTCTCTGAGAGGAAAGACTCTATTCAAGAAGAGCCTGTGTGGTGTCCCCCGTTCCCCCCTCAATCTCTGTTTTTTGCTACTTTTATGTTTGGGTACTGAATAACTTAATTATTTTTAGAAATTAGATGTTTTGAAGAGTTTCTGGTTACCTGTGAAAGAACCATTTAAAGCTAATTAATTATAATCTGAATGGCACTTTTCTGGTGATTCTTTTGGACTGCCCATTCCACTACAGCTTGATGATGGTCACTGCTTAGGTCTTCTGGTCTTAGTTTCCATGACCGTGGACTCACTACAGGTTGGCAACTGTTGTACAGGATTAAATGGTCCAGCTGCTGTTGAATATTGATACTATTGGATAGTGAGTGCAGTTTGTAAGTGAGACTGTTAGATGAGTATGGCTCACAGTTATAGCCTGAAAAGTTTATTCTGGTTTAATTTACTAGACTAGACCTATAACTTGGCCTGGAGCTTGATGTATTAATGTTGTGCTTCATTAGCTTTCTATGAGATATGTTGCTCTTTTTTTTTAATGTTTTATCAGTATTATATGATTTGATATTATTTTACTGAAGTGCTAGAGTTTTATTATTGCTTCATCTGTGTATTTTCTGTGGAATCTGGTAACATACAGGATCTGATCCATGAACCCTGCTATAAGCTCTTAGTCCACTAATAGAAAAACTAAAAATGTTTTTGCCTTTGGAAGAAGTGATGCCAAGAGGAAAGCAAAACATAGACTAATACTGTTTGCAAAGAGACAGATTCCAATTAGCAAATTTTACTCAGCAGATAAAAAACTAAATTTCTATAAGTTTCACATAGAAGTTGGCAGTTTTTATTGTGTATGATTGGCATTGTTTCTGTCAGTAGCAGGAGTCCTTATGTAACCATCATTTCTTTCTCCTGTGATGAACTTTACTAGGAAAGTTTATTATTAATTGCTATGGGACAGCAACTTCCTTCTTCCTCTTTCACACATCAGTTGGCTAGTTTTTTATCATTGAAAAACTTAAAGAAATCATGAATGTTTTTGGAAGGCCATATGTATTGTTAATTTATGGTTACTGCTTAAAAATTATTAGAACATTTTCTAAATTCTCAAAGGTTATTAAAATTTATGTAATTTTCTAAATTAGAAACAAAGTGGAAACAGCATTAGCAGATACAATGGTGAACCTGACCGGATAGAAAGGAATGACATATCTCACAGAAACATTCAGGTATGGAAACCTGTTGTTTTGTCAAGCAGTTCCCCTTTTGCTAAAATGGCTTTTTGAGAAGAAACAAACTATAAACCCTAATGCTTTCTTATGAATTGTTGTCTAACTGTGTTTATTATTGGTTAAATTATCATCAAAGGATATTGAAATTTTAATTTGGGGAGAGACATGTCTAACACTAGTTTTAACTGTGATGGTTAATATTTTTTTTACAAATTAGGACAAACCTTATTTGTCACAAGAAAGCAGCTATTTGGCTACACAGTATAGCCTTCGCCCAAGAAAAGAAGAGATCAGATTTGAAGAAGTAATTTCTCAAGAAGAGAGAAATGTTGTAAAAGGACCAAAATCAGTAAGAACTTTTGAAATAACAGCTACAGAACCAGAAGACTTAGAGTTTGGAGGAGGGTTTGGTATGTATATTAGAAATTACTTATTTAGTAAATTGTTGAAGAAATTGGAACCTTTATGCTGAAAAAGTCATTTGTTTAAGTCTTAAAGTAGAACCAGTATTCTCGCCTTTTGTGATTTTAAGAAGTTGATTAGTTTTAAAATTAGCTAGTCCACGTCCATAACATCCCATTATGGGTTACCATTTTGGAGTTGTTACTTGAAATGCAAGTGTTCATATTTAAAATTGCATAGTCATATCTTTAGACTGGGTTATAGTGGAGTCCAGATTTGGAGGAGAAAATGTAGAGCTGTCACTGGGTCCCCTCCAAGTATCCTTCCCTGATGGATGACTTGGAAAGAACAAATAGAAGATCTCGAAAGGCTGGAGCTGGCTCAACAGTTAGCGTTACATAGAGAGAAAAGAGGAAGTATTCAGCCTGTTGTATTAACTCTTCAGTGAACAATTTACAGAAAATCCTTTATTGCTATGCTTCCTTTAACTGAAGCATGCATCAGTTGGATTGTGCAAACTCTATTATGTTTGTTGTATTTAGTATATTTGAGGAAAGTTTAAAATCTATTTTTTAATCTAGTTGAAACACATTAGAATTCAGTTCATTCTTTGCAACTTTTTAGTCTGTTAATTCGGCAGGAATAACATTCTAAGACATTAGATTTTTAATTCCTTATTTCTGCCCAGATAACCTAGTGCTCATTACTGTAATGACTAAATGCCTTAATAACTATACAGAATTCAAACTGTACACAGTTGACCAAATTACCAAAATTGTCTTTCTGTCTCTAGAAATGAGAAGTTTCTGTTAATAGAATGAACAGCCACTTTTACCTAAACTCAGATTCCTTCAGTATAGTACAAGCAGAAGGTAGTTGAAAAGTTGGTGCGAGTATTTGGGGGTGAATCAGAAAAGGGAAACAAATATGAAAGAGTGCTACCTGAATCCTCATTGTGAGGGTGCATTTGTCATTTAATATTCTAAGCAGTAGAAAAGGGCATAATCTGTTACGTGGTGAACTTCTAGGTGGATAATAGGAAAAGTATAGTATAAAGGTAATACTTTCTTGAGTAAGTTTTATTCTTTAAGAGTTGTAAGACTGTTCCAGTTCATTCTATATATTGCTGTTGGATTAATTTTTTCCACAGCTGTGATCTTTTCACTTCTCTCCTCAAAAACTTTGAGCTACTTCCCATACTTCTTGAATAAAGTAGAGCTCAGGTCATTCTGCCTTCTGACCTCAGCCCACCTTTCATTTCAGCAAATACTTATCTCATTATGTCTTCCCCTACCCTGACATGTATTATATATTCTAGCTTAAACTGTACTTGTGCACTCATCCTCCAAAAGACGTTTTTTAATGTTCAGACCTTGGTTCATGTCCATTCCTTCTGTCAGAAATGGCTACCCAACCTTTTCCTTCCCATATTTGTATATTGAAATTCTACCTGTCCTTCAGGTTCTACCTCTAGTAGTACCTCTCTGAAACCAGTCCCCACCCATACAGGGAGTGATTTTTGTACTCTGAACTCCTTTAGCTTTTTCCTGGTCACTGTCATTCTCAGAGCTTATGACATTGCCTTTTCTTGTAGTTTTTGGGTGGATGTGTTCTGTTTAAAAGAAATACATTGTTGTTGTCTTCAGGGAGTTGAAGAGTACAGGTAGTTGGTGTTTTGGAAAGAATGCTCAGTTTAAAGTCAGAGAACCTGGTTGTAAATCTAGGCTGTGCCACTTTTTACCTTTGTGATTTGAGGGCCACTCTCTGACTCATTATTTCAGAAATAAAGAATTTACATCATGTGGAGTCTAAGATCTTTTCCCATGATCTAAATCCATAATCTTTTTAACCTTATTATTCATCCTTATATTCCGCACTGAGGGTAGCACAGTGCCTCACACCTAGCAAATGTTCAGTAAATTTGTGGAATGAATGAAAGAATCCCAGATTTCATGGTATCTATCATAATGTTATAAGTTACAATTTAAAATATGTCTGTTTCACAGTAGCAGTGTAAAGCAATATAAAACTGGGTCAGTGGCATTATAAAAATTGGATGTCTGGTAAAAATTATAATAAATAATTTTGATATGCTGCATCTTTGTTATCAAAATAGCAAATATTTGAGTGCCTTCTGTGTGCTACTTGCTTGAGGATATGAAAAATATAAGCTTTAGCCCTGGCCTAAAGTGGCTAACCATCTAGTTGTGTCTTAAGACAGTACACATTTTAAAAACGTGTCCAAGTGCCAAATAAATTCTTCTCAGAGATTATCTAGTCCAATTCCTCATTTTACAGAAGAAGAAATGGAAGCCCAGAAACGTTCTGTGATTTTCCTGGTGACTCACAGGTAGTAAATGGCAGAGCTAGGATTTGAATTCATATTTTCTGAACCTGTCTACTGTGTAGTGTTTGTTTGCCAATTGCATTAAAATAACTTATTAATTAAAAAAATATTTTGAGAGATAATCTGTACTGTGAGGTTGTACCACTTCTTTGCTCTGTCTTTCAGTTAGGAAATATTTACAAATGACTAAATATTTAGAAATCTGACACATGGCTCAGTAATATGTGTTGCTGAATTAATATCAGGCTAGAAGAGGCGGTAGTTTAAGTGCATTGGACCTGGAGTCAAAAGACTTTGACCTGATACTTACTAGTTGTGATCAAATCATAAATGAGTAGTCCCTGAGGTTCACTGAATGTTAAGAGGTAAGGAGAATGTTTGTTTTATCTGCCTCTGTAAACCCTAAAGTACCATAAAAATGTAATCTCTTGGCAGTATGATCCAGTAACTGAAGGCTGGGATAGTCATTGCGGAGGAGGTAGGTCTTGAGCTTTGCCTTTTAATTAGGATGTGTTGTTTGTTATTTCCATCATGTAAGATATCTTGGTCATGGCACTGTACCATTGGGTTGTCTGTTTGTGGTCTCATTTTTGATATGTAATTGGTTTTCCTTCTTTCTCTGTCATAAATACAAATAAAGAGAGGTAGAACTTATCTAAGTGGAATGAGCAGGAAGTTATTTCCTAAGGAGAAAATGATTTGAGAAATGATGCAGTGACTAGGAGGTGTGAGTGGTTTGGCTAGAGGGAAGGGTTCTTACTTAGAATGGTTTAAAAAGTTGGAGAGGATAGATAGGGCCCAGATTGGAAGGGGTGATTAAATAAGTGAGGTTTGAATTTTGACTGCAGGTATTGAGACTGATGAAGGTTTTGAGCAATAAAGCTAATGGGTGAAAATCACAGTCTAAAGATAAATCTGGCATTGTTGTGTAGGATAGATTAGGAGTGAGAGAGTGGGAAAGAAACTACTGGAGCTTTAGGTAAGCTAAAGCTAAGGCTTTATTGGATTAGCCCAAGACTGAGATTTTGGAGGAAGAAGTGGTAGATGGTATCTATGATAGTAAAATCAAATGGGTATGATATCCATAACTTAGAGGGCTGTTGTGAAGATGAAATGAGAGAAGACAAACTGTATGCGGTATTTTAAAGTGTGGGTAGAAATGGTGACATTTTGTGAGTTGGTAACAATGAATTTGTGGATTGAGCTGCATAGAATTCTATAAAAATTATTTTGACTTTTGGATTAAAATCCTGTTCTTTTTAAAAAAAATTATTCAGAACTTATCTGTTTCCCACTGATCTTTCTTCTGTTCTCTTCCATGCATTAAAAAAATGCTTTCATGACATTTTTTATTTTGATAATTCTGTTGTTAACCTTCCTGTTCCCTATCCTTCTCTCCCTCCCTCCCACCTACCTCCACTGAAAGAAAAATAAAATCCTTGTGTCCAGTAGGCACAATCAAGCAAAACATATCTGCATCATCATGACATCTTTAGAATCATGATTGGTCATTGCATTGATCCTTTGTATTATTTTCAGGTCTGCTTTCTCTGTTTCCTTATGACCCCTCTGCCCCCGATTGAGAAGGGAAGGGAAAAAACAAAACCCTGTTAAAAACATACATAGACAAAATGAATTCTCGAATGGATCACATCCAGATGTGTGTGTGTGTGTGCATGTATGTATGTATTTTCCCCCTCACAGTTTCCTGTGTACACCTCTATTAAGAGTTAGGTTTCATCATAAGTGCTTTGGATTTGTGGTTATTCATTATATTGCTAAGTGTTCCTAAGTATCTCAGTTATTTGTCTTAACAGTATTGTTGTTATTGTATATATTGTTCTTTTGGTTCTCATTTTCACTCTGCATCATTTCATAGAAGTGTTCAGGTTTTTCTGAAACCCTGTGTTGTCATTTCTTACAGTATAGGAGTGTTGCATCATGTTAACATACCATAACAGCCCCCCAGCTGATGGGTATCCCCTTAGCTTCCAGTTGCTTGCCACCACAGAAAGAACTGCAGTAAAATATTTTATACACATGGGTCCTTTTCTGAGGGTTCCTTTTTAAAAAAAAACAGCTGTTTAACCTTTCATCAGGATTTGATTCTTGAATATTGATTGTTTTATAGGAGCTTTTTCCATTATGATTGGTCTGCCGGTTATACTCTTTATGTTGTTGTTGATGTGTAGAGAAAAAGATCCCAGTCTTGTGAATCTTCCTCCTCCTTTGCCACCTTTGGCTAATTTTTGGGAAACCAGAGTGTTTGGAGTCTATCTGCTTTGGTTTTTTCTCCAAGCCCTCTTCCACCTCCTGCCAATTGGAAAGGTAAGTGTTTATTAAGCAGGATAGTATGAGAATTTTTCATTTTTGCCCATGTAAGTAATAATTGTGCAATGATTCTGGAATTAATTTTTGTATACTCCATAGAACCTAGCATAATGCCTTGCTCAGAGGTCCTCAAAAAACACAATGCATTAATGCTTCATATTTTGAAGTCTTTTTTGTTGTATTATGCAGTAACAGTTATTAAGGCTTAAGCTGTTCTACTTAAGTTTATATAACTTTTCATATGAATTGAAGCTGAGTAATGGGCAAGTTGGATGCAAAATAAAATCCCTATCGCTCATATTACCTCATGTTTCTGATTAAGATTATATTAAAAATGGAGGTAGTATAAAGAACTTGAGTGGACTTTGGACATCATATTTTATGTCATAGAAGCTTCTAATTTCCATTTTTCCTCCTCTCCCCGAAAATTGTCAAGATTGTTGAGCATTTCATAGTGTTCTCAATTAAACACATACTCTGCCCATTATGTGCAATGTGAAAATGCTTACTCAGATGATTTAAAGGTTTTATTCTTGGTCTTTGTAAGTTTGCCAGCTGCTTGTAAACTGAGATTAATTTTATTACATAGAGGAATACCATTAGGGAGAGAATAGGACTTAGCAAATATATTGGAACCTCACTAGAATACTTCAGTTTATTGTGAAATTCAGTTTTTGTTAAAAAGTGGGTTTGTCTTGAATTTGTTACATGGAATTTGGTTTCTCAAGTAACAATAAAAGTGTATATTATAGTATGATATGAGATATTGATTCTTAGTATTTTGCTGGTGAAGTTGCAGTGTAAAGTAAAATGTTACTAAATCAGCTTAATTAAGGGGGAATACTAGTTGGGAATATAGGATATTTATTAAGAAATGAATTTTATTTTTGAACTTTGTCATACAAGGTAGAACAGACTAAAGACCAGGAAGCAGTTTTCAGACTTAATTTAATGAGTAGATAAATATTATTTGACAGATACCACAAGGACAGTGCTAAACTGTGGATTCTTAGTAGGTTAAATATATTCTGATTTACAGTCGGCCATCTAGCTTTTATTAAGCACCTACTATGTGTCAGGCACTATGTTAAGCGCTGGGGAGACAAAGAAGAGCAAAAGATAGCCCCTGCTTTCAAGGAGCTCACGGTCTAATGGAGATATAGTGTGCAAATAATTATATATTGTTTTGATAGATCAAATTATGAGTTCTGAAGTAGTGGAGTTTGAATTAAAAAACTGAATAGCTATTCTGGGGAGTACTATTTGGCTGCCATTGGGAAAATGTTTTATTTATTCAATTCAAAAAATATTTATTGAATATCTTCCATGTGTATAATTAAGTATTATTGGGTGGGGTGGGTATACAAAGAAAGTAGCTAGTCTTTACTGTTGAGGATTGAGGACATTATGCATTTGACTTTCTAATAAAATAGGTCATGTTAGTGTAATGAGTACCACAGTGAGAGTTTTATACAAGTACTGTTGTAGTTTAGAAGAGAAAAAGAAGTAGTATGAGCTGGAGGGGCCCAGAAACCACTGGAAGATTGAAACCTGGAAGGGGCCCTGGAGGTCATTTGTCTAAACCTCGTATTTTACAGGTGAGGAAAATGAGGCTCATTTAGGTCAAGTGACTTTCCCAAGATAATAATAAGTTGTGAAGTCAAAATTTGAATTCATGTCCGATGGTTCCCAAATTTAGTGTTCTTTTCATTGTACCCATGAATAATCTGAAAAAGCTTGATGGATAAGTTTGAAATATTTGAATTTTGGTTGAATAGAATGGGTACATGTTTTAGGGGTACTTGAACACAAAATAGAGGGGTTTTTTCAATTGTCTGTGGACACTGGAGAACCAGTGAAGGTTTTTGAGTAGGATAGTAGCATGGTGAAAGTGGTGCTAATTTGGAAAAATCTGGTAATGGTGTTCAGAATAGTTTAGAAGGGAGAAAGATGGGAGGGAGAGACAATTTAGGGATGCTGTTGCTATGTAGTCTGTGTGTACAGTTACGATGAGGTTGGTCTGGTAATTGGGAAAGAAAACAATTAGGAAAGGCATTTTGGAGTAAGAATCAGTAGAACTCATTGGATATAGTGGTGAAAAAAAGGGATGAGGTAAAGAAAACTTAGAGATTAAAAAAAAAAAAGAAGAAAAGCCTCTGAGGGATGGGGAGAATAGGGAGTAGTGTAATAAATAAGGACATAAAAAAGTGAAGTATTTGTAAAGGTGGGTTTGAAAGAGGCAGGTTTGATGAAGAGTATTTTGATTACCTTGAATTTTGAGTGATGTGCATGCTTTTAATCATTTTTTTTTCTTTCTCCTAAGGTAGTAGAAGGAACACCTCTTTATGATGGAAGAAGATTAAAATATAGATTAAACGGTAATTCTTGTTGAATTAATACAATTGTAACTTAGAAGCCTCTAGTAATCTGGCACGTGAAATGTTTTATATAAAATATGTATGCAATTCTAGAGTTCAAACAATTTGCTCATATGATACTACCTTAAATTAGGTACTTCTAGAATTGTGTTAATTGTTGTTTGGATGCAGTATTTATTTTCATCAGGACAATAATTTTTTTCTATTAATTTATTTTGATTTATCAACAATCACTTCCATATGCTTTTGAGTTGAAAATTTTTCTCCCCCTTCCTCCCCCCCACCCTCCCCAAGACGGCGCACAGTCTGATATAGGCTTTACATTTACATTCCTATTAAACATATTTTCACATTAGTGAAGTTGTAAGTAAAAATTAAAACCAATAGGAGGAACCATCAGAAAGATGAAACAAAACTCAACAGAAGGTAAAAATAAGTGATAGCGATTTGACTTCCATAATTCTTTCTTTGGATGTGGACAGCATTTTCCATCCCATGGCCTCTGGAGATGTCTTAGATCCTTGTAATGCTGAGAAGGGTTCAGTTTAACAATCTTAGTCATCGCATAACATGGCTGTTATTGTGTACAAAGTCCTCTTGGTTCTGCTCACTTCACTCAGCATCAGACCATATTAGTCTTTCCAGGTTTCTCTGCAGTCAGCCTGTTCATCATTTCTTATAGCACAATAGTATTCCATTACATTCATATATCACAACTTGCTCGGCCATTCCCCAATTGATGAGCATCCTCTCAATTTCCAATTCTTTGCCACCACAAAAAGAGCTGCTATGAATATTTTTGTACATGTGGGTCCCTTTCCCATTTGTTTCATCTCTTTGGGATATAGCCCTAGAAGTGCTATTGCTGGATCAAAGGGTATGCACATTTTTGTAGCCCTTTGGGCATAGCTCCAAATTGTTCTCCAAAATGGTTGGATCATTTCACAACTCCACCAACAATGTATTAGTGTTCCAATTTTCCCACATCTTCTCCAACATTGATCATTTTCCTGGTTTGTCATGTTGGCCAATCTGATAGGTGTGATGTGGTACCTCAGAGTTGTTTTGATTTGCATTTCTCTAATCAATAACAATTTAGAGCATTTTTTCATATGACTATAGATGGCTTTAATTTCTTCATCTGAGAACTGTCTGTTCATATCCTTTGACCATTTATCAATTGGGGAATGGCTTGTGGAGAACAATAATTAACAGATTATTTCTTTGTAGTCCAGAAAGGTTATTAGCTTTCTCTCACCTCCCCTGGGTTCTTGGTTTTGCTAGTATGGACATGGATGCAAACTGTACCTTCTCCATGCCTTAGTAAATGAACTTCATGACTTTCTTTGGCCAAAAAAATTCATTTCTTCATGGCAGTCTTTTGGTGATAAACCTTTTCCACATTTAGTTTGGCTGAAGAATGTGATCAGATTTATCCTTGGAGCCTTTCCAGACTCATGGGCCTTCCTGGGCCTGTTATCTGTCATTGCCTCCAAAAACCCAGGGCAACTCAGTCCATAATCAGTAATGGGAATGGGATGTTATACCTACATATTAATTGTCATTTTATCCCAGTTATAAATGATGTCTTCCTCAGATTCTTTATAACACTGTTTTCTCTTGTGCTTTTTTCTTGACTTTTAGTAATTTGTGTATATGAGTGATATTGTCTGCTGCCTCTTCTCTAACACCTTTGGTAAACGCTCTTTGAGGGAAGCAGTTGTGCTTTTAATATTTATGGCATCTGCCACTAGTATGTTCAATAAACATAGTTGGATTATAGGATCATAGCTTGGGAGCTGAAAAGTACCTTAGAGGTTATCTAATTCGGCATTATATTAGAGGGAAGCAAACTGTAACTTGCCTAAGGTCATTCAGGTAATAAATAGGATGGCTAGGATTCAGACCCAGGATTTCTGACTGCATATATAATACCCTTAGTGGACTCGTAAGTTTTCAGGTTCTCTTCAAAAAATGTAAGCAATTATACCATGTAAATGAATGGGAAGGTCTTGCTGAAACTAAGTATTGGTCTGGGTCTTCTGGTTTATGGAAATTTCTCTGTCAGATGAGTAATGTAAGTCCAAGTATAGTTTTTATAGTTTTGGTTAGTAGACATTCAGAGTATTATAGTTCATAAGTATATCTTTTATTTATATATATTTTTATATATATGTATATAGATAGTATGATATTTATATGTATATTTATGTGTGTAATACACACACACACACACACACACACACACACACACACACACACACACATATATATATTTGTTCCCATCTTTTTTTTTCATAGACCATAGTACTTTCCCATAATTGTATTATGTAAATGTAGTTCTCATTGGTCTCTCTTGCTTATTTTGGTATATTTTATAAACTTTTAAAAAAGTAATTCATAATCACTCATTCAGCTAATCTTTATTAAACATCTGCTATGTACATATGAACAAATACAAAAAAGAAATGTAATAGGAGCTTTTGCTGTCTAGGAACTTACTGTCTAATATCTTTATCCCTGTAATCCTTGGGAAGATGGTAGGGTACTCAGAACTGGATTTAATCTCATCGGGATTCTGTCTTCACTACATGACTATGCCTGCCTGTTTTTGGAAATTTGTTAAATTGCATTGTTTTAGGTTTTGCTACCAGATATCTTGACATAAGCATTTTAGAGTTTTTCTCCCTGAGTGCCAATTTATATTTTTCTAAGTAACCTCATTTTTTCTTTATTCTTGCAAGAGCCATTGTTCTCAAAGGTTGAGCGGACTTGGAGACCTGAGAAACATATTACATTAGATTAATACTTTCATTTCTTTGCCTATTTAGTGAGTAAAATACCTGCTCATAGGATTATATTTAGAATGAATGATAAAGAATTTGGCAAACAATTCTGTGTATATTTAATTTTGAATAAAATATTTATTTTTAACCCACATGGAAGTTAGGGAAAAGAATTAGCTATGTTATATCTATCACTTTATCAAGTACAATATGAAATAAAGATTAGGCAAAGTATAACAGAGTTAAAAAGTTTACACTATTTTATCTAAACCCCATTTGAAAAAAAGATCTAGATTTCAAAAGTGGAAACAATAAGGATGATTCTTGACTCTTTGCTTTCACAGAAAAATTCTTTATAAAAGAAGTTTAATGCGTTAAAATATTAACCCTCCCTCCCCCCAATTGATTTCACCTTAATTATGTATCAGGCACTATGCTCAGCTCTGGGCGTAAAAATACGAAAGAGAAAAACTCCCTGTCCTTAAGTAGCTTATATTCTAATAGGGGAGATAACACAAAAAGCCATTAGACTAGGAAAGGGTAAAATCACAGAGATGATGAGTGGATCTATGGGGTAGTCAAATTATATACCCTTTGTAGAAGCAATGGTCGTATTGATTTGATTGCTTTTCCCAGAGCAGGAGTAGAAAGAAGGGGTTAGAGTGTGGGAAATGTGTCAAGCAGCATGATAGGATGATGGTGGGGTTAACTAACTGGGGCGGGCTAGATGTCGTGAGGTCTTCCATCACAGTAAACAAGATTCAAGGTATTCATGTCTGTATTATAGTTTTGGGAACTTGGCTTCTAGAACCTTCTGTTGTGCTTCTGATGAACTCAGTGATTTTGCTTGAGAAGTAGCAACTCAATCTAAAGATTAAATGATCATTTCAAATTTTGAAGGTTTTAAATATCTACTGATAATTGTATTAATTTGGTTCTTATTTGTCTTCCTAAAAGAGCAAATTACTCCCAGCTTTCCAGCATAGTTGATAGTGTTAATATTCTTAAGTGTTCTCAGATAAGCATCATTACATAGTTTTTGTATGCTCAGAAAGTCTTGACTAACTATATTTAGTTTTCATATATATATATATATATATATATATATACACACATACACACACACACACACACAGACACACAGACACACACACACACACACACACATACATATATATATATATATATATATATATATAGTGAAGACCAAGAGTTTTAAAAATCATTATTGTAACAATTTAAGTAATTTTTGTCTCATTTAATTAACTGCCTACTGTTTTTCTTTTTAAAGGATTCTATGCTTTTATTCTGACATCTGTAGTCACTGGAATATCTCTGTACTGGGGGATGGAGCTCTATTATGTGTATGATCATTTCCTTCAGTTTGCAGTTGCAGCTACAGTTTTTTCTGTAGCCTTGAGCATTTATCTCTATGTCCGGTCCTTGAAAGCATCCAAAGAAGAGCTATCTCCAGGAAAATCAGGTAAGCATGCTTTCAAAAAGCTTCATGTAGAATTTTGTAAACTCTACTATCTGATGTAAGTACTAATTTTCAGAACATTTAGGGTGTTGGGCTTTTTTGAAATGCAAAGGTGGGAAAGAAATTTTTTTTTTACATACCCATTAAACATATTTTCACATTAGTGAAGTTGTAAGTAAAAATTAAAACCAATAGGAGGAACCATCAGAAAGATGAAACAAAACTCAACAGAAGGTAAAAATAAGTGATAGCGATTTGACTTCCATAATTCTTTCTTTGGATGTGGACAGCATTTTCCATCCCGAGGCCTCTGAAGATGTCTTAGATCCTCGTAATGCTGAGAAGGGTTCAGTTTAACAATATTAGTCATCACATAACGTGGCTGTTATTGTGTACAAAGTCCTTTTGGTTCTGCTCACTTCACTCAGCATCAGACCATAAAAGTCTTTCCAGGTTTTTCTGAAATCAGCATGTTCATCATTTCTTATAGCACGATGGGAAAGAAATTTTAAGAAAGAATAGAAATATTAAGTCTTTAATTCTTTGATATCTTTTCGCCTTCCTTCCTCCCAGCTTAGATTTAATGCCGTTGTACCATTTTTAATAGCTTACTTATAGGGTCATAAGATTTAGACAGGTTATCACAGATCTGATTCCTTCGTGTTACAGATAAGGAAATGGAGGCTTAGAATGGCTTACTTGTCTAGGATTATACCAAGTACAAGGTTGGAATTTAGATCCAGGTATTCAGATTCCAAGCATACTTTCTTTTATACTAATTATGTACTCTTGGCTAATAAACATTGTAATTTATGAATAATTTTATTTGAAATGCTGAGTTGGTGAATAGTTTTTTTTTTTAAATTTCAAGTACATAATGCTGAAAATTTCAAGTTTAATGATTGGGGCCGAAATAATTTTTGAAAAATACTTTTTCTTTTGCAGGAAATATTGTCTATGATTTCTTTATTGGCCGTGAATTAAATCCACGAATTGGACATTTTGACCTCAAATATTTCTGTGAATTGCGTCCAGGATTGATTGGTTGGGTTAGTCCTTTCTTAAAACAGTAACGTAGATGATCAGGCTCTGTATTAAGATTAAAAAAAAAAGAACAACTAAATAGCTGATGCTTTATTTTCCCTAAATTTAGTCATGCAGAATTAGATGATTAATGTTAACAGGTTACACATAGAAACCAATCATTTAAGATACTCTGCTCTTCGGGTGTGTACATCTGTTTGAGTAGAAGATTTATAAATTTTCTTTCTTTATGCTTTTTATTGCCCTCATTTTCATTTAAATATAAAAGTCTTCTAAGAAAGTTCTCCTTTGATGCCTCATCGTGGCGTGGAGTTGACTGTGGTTTCCTGAGAACTATGCCTGTGGAAGCTAAGCTGTGTCAGGCCCTAGCAGATTGTAAAGATTCAGGAATGAACTCTGCAATGCACCAGTTTGGTTATCTTAAGACCAGCCTGTTAAAATCTGGGGAAGTCCACCATCGTGTTGGTCACAGGGTGATGTGGGAACAGCAATTCTCAATGACTGTCTACCAACTCAGAGGAGTCGTCATCTGCATGGTGTATGGAGGAATCATATCAAGTTTCAGATCCTTTAAGTGAGAGTAGAACTTTTTTACCCCTTTGTCTGGATTCATTTATACTTTTTTTTCACATTTCTTTTTTTAGGTTGTTATTAATTTAATAATGCTTTTGGCAGAGATGAAAGTCCAACAGCGTGAAACCCCATCTTTAGCAATGATATTGGTTAACAGTTTCCAGCTTTTATATGTGGTGGATGCTCTTTGGAATGAGGTAATAATTCCCAATGTGAGAGAGTTTAAGAATATGTTAATGTTTCTGAATATAACTAATATTATCTGTGGCATATTTTTAAGGTCTGTTGATGTGGGCTTCTCTGATGTTTATTCTTGCTCTCCCAACCTACTGCTACTGTTCAAGGTTCATTCATTAATCCATTTGCTGTCAGCATCAGTCTTTTAGCTGCCAGGAAGCCTTTCCAACCTAGATGGTCTGCTTCTATATATTTCTATGCAATCTCTGACTCTACACACCCAAATATTTTATTTTACTTTCTCATCATTTATGCTTTGAAATTTCACTTAGCTTCCCTGTTTTGTTATGGTGCTTTTGGGAGATACAGAAGAAATATCAGACGTGATTCTTGCCTTCAAAGAATTTACAGTTTGGTAGGGCAGATTAAGTTAACCAGAATGAAATAGCGTGGCATACTGGTAAGAAAGTGGCATATAGCTCTTCCCAGTGAGCTGATTTCATTCCATCCTCCACATCTCTTTGGAAACAGTATCATCATAATGCTTGGGTCTCTTGGGAATTTTCTTTTTAGGTGTGTATTGTTGATGTCCACTAATCTCTACAGTTGATTTGTGGATGAATGTGTGCAGGGAGTGAGTAGTTTCCCAAGAAACCATAGGAAAATTCTTAACATTAGCTTGTCTTTAACTAATGAATGTTTTAATTCTTCAATAGCTGGGACAAGCCTAGAAGCAGATAAAACAAGAACAAAAGCCTAAGAATTGAATTTCGGGGATTTTGAAAACCACTTTTCTTCTTATATCTAGTTCTTCCTAACATTGTCCAAGATGGAGTTCAGGGAAGAGAGAGCTAGAAAGGCATATTGAAAGAGGATACAGATAGTCATAATTTAGGCAGGAAAAATTGGTCAAGCTGTATGGAAGGGACAGTGGTTATGATAGTAAAAATTAATTTGTTAATTTTTATCTTGGAGACTAGCACACAAAACAGCAGTTAACAGTATGATATGTAATATATAATTTGGAATGTAATTGAAAAGTTTCATAAAATACTTTTGAAGTTCAGAGGACAGAGATATTAGTGAGATCTTGAGTTAGGAGAGGCTTCATGGATACAGGGAGAAGATACAGGAATATATTTTATATGAAAAGAGTAATGTGAGCAATAATGTGAAATAACCTGACTAGAAGAGTTATCTAACACTTGTGGTTATTCTGGTTAGTGATGAATTTATGGGCCTTTTATTTTGTTTAAAAAAAAAAGTCCCAGACAGCTTTGCTGTAGATGTTGCAGTAGTGAAAGCTCATAGGCAATAATGCCTGTTAGGAGTTTTTCTACTATTATTTATAAGACTCTGAAATGGGGATAAAGAAGGAGACCGATTCTGTTTGAAAGGCCCTAATGTTGCTCTACCTTTAAGCTGATGTTGGGGCACTGTTTCCCTTACCCTTCTTAGATCCAAGTAGTTGAAATTCTCCATCTCTGTTATTAACATAACTTCATACTACATTTGAGCTCTTTCCCTGAGAGCATGCTGATCTAAGTCTTCCTTAGAACTTTTTTTGTATGTTGCCACCACATAATGCTTCCACTTCTCCCTCTGTCGAATCTCATCTAGATGCTTTCCACCATGTTTCTCCTTTTGGTTTCCTAAATTTCTCAAGTGAATATATCTTCTTAACATACAGTCCATTTCCTTTCTCTCCCCTTTACCTATTCTTTTTTTTTTTGAATAAAGTTCGTAGGATCATGAGTCAAGAACTGGAATGGACCTTAGCTGTTATCGATTCTATCTCCCACATTTTAGAGATGAAAATACTTGAGGCCCAGGAAAACGATGGCTTATGCAAGGTCATTCAGTTTCAGTTAGGATTTCCATCCAGGTCCATTGGCTCCAGAGATGACTTTCTTTATACTTCTTTAGGTTTGAACTAAATGGAAGAAAGGGAATAGAATAAACATTTATTAAGTGTGCTGCTATGTGCCAGCCACTATGCTAAGCACTTTACAAATATCTCATTTGATCCTCACAAGGAGGTAGGTGCTATTGTCATCCCTATTTTGTAGTTGAGGAAACTGAGGCAGACAGAAGTTAAGTGACTTGCCCAGGGTCACACAGCCAATAAGTGCCTGAGACTGCATTTAAACTTGGGTCTTCCGGACTCCAAGCCCAGTACTCTATTCACTGTGTCAGCAGCTGATGCTGCTGAAGATTCTTAAATTCTAAGATTCTGGGTAATATGTAGGTAGGACTATTAGCTCCCATACTAAGGGCTAATATACTGTAGGAGGTATATACTTGTGTTCTTGTTTCTACTTTTTCTGTTTCCTCCTTAGCTGTTAGGCTGTGAAGTGTCATCTCTTTGAGTGAAGAAGCTAGTGGGTGCAATGGAGTGCTGGCCTAGAGTCAAGAGGATCTGAGTTCAAATTTGCTCTCAGATAACTCACTACTGTGTGACCCTGGGCAAATCATTCATAACACTATTTGCCTTGATTTCCTCATCTGTAAAATGGGGATAATAATAGTAACTACCTCTCAAAATTATTGTGAGAATAAAATGAGATATTTATAATGCACTTAGCACAGTTTCTGGCATGTAATAGGTGCTTAACAAATGCTTATTTCCTGATGGTCATATTGATATGTGAGAAGACATGTATAAAACAAAGGTCCTGACTTTAAAGGATGAATCTCTGGGTGGGGAGGGAGACAGGATTAAAAGATTGTTAAAAATTATTTATAAAAGAGGATAATAGGCTCTGAATAATGATTTGTGGGGCTCTCAGTTTAAGTTCACAGCTTTAGCGTAAGGACTTTGTGACATCTTTTTTGCCTCTTTCTTGATTCTTGCTTGTTTCAGATAATTGAAGTCATGACAAGTCACTATAATTTTTAAAATCGAGTTAAATATGACTCCTCAACTGACAGAATTTAATGTTCACTCATAAGTTGACGTAATTCACCTGAATACTGCCATCATACTAATTTTATTAGAGCTTAATTGTCCTTTTCAGGGGTAAATTTTAGTTTCATTATGTCTTTTTTCCCTACTGTATTTTTAGGAAGCTTTGTTGACAACTATGGATATTATACATGATGGATTTGGGTTCATGTTAGCATTTGGAGATTTGGTGTGGGTGCCGTTTATCTATAGTCTACAAGCCTTTTATTTAGTCAGTCATCCTAACGAAGTTTCTTGGCTTTTTGCATCCATTATTATTGCTTTAAAAGGTAAGTCATAATTTTACTTGTTCAGTGTTAATTATTATGTATAGAATTTATTGTGCCATATTGTCTGTTCATGGCGTCTGTCAATTATTGAAAGTTCCCATTAGTTCAAGCCAGAAATGACACTTGCCTTCAGGGAAGGTAGGTATTTCATATTTTGGACCATTAGCAGCTTTTTCCCAAGTGCTTTTGAGAAATGTATTAATGACAGTTCAGCATTCAGTAGCAAGTACTTTTTTTTTTGACACCTGCTGTATGCAAACTGTAAGAGATATAAACTCTCAGCCCTCAGGTTTATAATCTAGTAAGGAAGTTAAGACGTGCATAAATGCCTTTAATACAAGTGCAGGGTTGTATGTGAAAAATACTGTAAGTCAAAAGAAGAGATCACTTGGTGTAGTGGGGGAGAGTGATGATCAGAGAAGATTTATAGAAAGTTAGCATTTTAATTAGGCCTTGAAATATGGAATTCATTAGTTGGGATTGGGGCTAAAGAGATACTCAATAGAGAGATAGCCTGGCATAGTAGTTAGAGAGCTGAACTTGGAATTAGGAAGACCAGTGTTCATATCTTGCCTCCAAAGCTTACTCCACTGTGTGACTATGGCAAGCTTTTTTATATATCATTTTTAAATTTTCAAAGCACTTTACAAATGTATTATTTGAACTTTACAATCCTGAAGGTAGGGATTAAGAATTTATTCCTGTTAGTCTTTATTTTACAGATGAGGAAACACTCAGAGAGGATAAATTATTTGCCCATGATCACACAGTTAATAAGTGCTGAAGGTATAATATGAACCCCCATCTTAACTGATTCTAAGTCCAAAGTTCCAGCCCTGTACCTTTGCCACACCTCTAATCTCCAGTTTCTTCACCTAAAAATGGGGTTAATAATACCTACCACATAGAGTCCTTGTGAGACTCCAATGAAATAATATATAGGAGTTCTTTGCAAACCTAAAAGTACTATTTAAAAGCACCAATTGCTAATTGTAATATTGTCATCTTTTCAGGCTGAGGGCACAGCGGTAAGATGATTGCAAAGTATAGGTGCATTTAGAGATTATAGGGAAATATCCAGCCCTAGATTATCTACAGGTTGATTATTCAGGCATACTAACGATGATGTTTTACAGTTTACAATACTATATGTGTAAGGCTTTTGTTATCCCATTATCCCATTATCCCGTTATGTATGAGATGTAGGTTTAGTAAAAATTAAAATTAAAATTTGATATTTTTAAAATTTACATTCTGTTGTATTGTTTTTATGACTCTTCTCCAATTAGATTGTTAGTACCTTGAGGGTAGGGATAGTATCTTACTATTGTACTCCCTCCTCAGAATAATGTCATATTGAGTTAGTTTGGCTCATTAGTGGGTTTCACTTACTTTTGTCAACCCTGAATAATTTTACAAAAATAGGAGAGGGAAATTATTTCAACTGCTTAAAAATATATTGAATATTAGTAATGTAAGAACAGCTAGCTTAAAATCATCTTTTATTATGGATTTATTCAAGCCCGAATGTTGAATCAGCATTAATAAATTCATGACATAATGGCTTTAAAACTAACTGATCCTTAGAAGTGGGGGGAAAATCATATTTTGGTCATACTGAAAACTCTATCAAATGATTGAGGCTATGTATTGGAATTTGGATACCATAATCTTAATTGTAGAATGGAATTCATTACAGTCCTTGTCCTTCTTTGATCCCAAGGGTTTAAGTATTGACATAACTAAAGGAATATGGCAATAGTAAATTTTTTTGAACTTTGAATTTGAATTTTGAAAACTATTTGAGTTTGTTAAAATTATTAAATGAGAATTTTTTTTATTTTTAAATTTTAGTTTCAGGATATACAGTATTCCGTTGTGCAAACTCTCAGAAAAATGCATTTCGGAAAAATCCCAATGATCCTAATTTGGCACGTAAGTATTGATTGTATAAAAAATTATTTTTATATACTAATATTACATATGTTTATATACTTGATTATATGAAATATGTATTTCTTTACACATAGATCTGAAAATTATTCATACTTCAAGTGGAAAGAATCTTCTAGTGTCTGGTTGGTGGGGTTTTGTTCGACATCCCAACTACTTGGGTGATCTCATTATGGCTCTGTCTTGGTCTCTACCATGTGGTAAGATCTGATATTTAACTACTTGTAATGAGAGTGTTAAATTTAGTGTTTTCCCAGCCGAATGAAAGATCTATAGATTCTGTTCTTAAATGGGCATGTGAATTTGAATCCAGTGCGATTCCATTACATTTTTGCCTGTAAGGGCTGCAGATATCTCAGACTATTTCTGCTTTGCATTTAGGAAGAAACTAAACGTGTTGATATCTAGCACACTTTCAATGAGTGAAATTTCCATGATTAAAGCTTATTTACCCTTTAAAGTCCTAGAATATTTGTAGGAATTTCAGTGTTTTGGAGGGGTTGGAAAATTTTCTAAAATGTGTTAAATATTTAACTTTTTTGGTTGACTTGGTCATCATTAAGAACTAGTTATACTCATTGTAACAGTGATACACTTAGGGACTATTGAAGTACATGATTTCTTTTTGCCATTATGGCCCTTAATTGCTTTCCAAACAAGGGCCCCTTCTAATCTTAACTGACTTTTGCCAGGTCAACTAGGTAGCCAAATGTGCCTTAATTTTATCCACAGTTCTCAGTAGGCTCTGGCTTAAAGCTTTGTGGTTGGAGGGTGGGGAGACTCCTGAGTTCTAAATGTCAGAGGTATTTGCTGGATATATGGATTTTAATTGTAGTGTGCAGTGTGGCTGCTACCAGGTAACAGTTTCTAATCTTCTACTGTTGGTATTGATTCACTGACCCAGTAAATAAGCTAGCACAAATGTAGCTATTTTTTGTTGGAGAAAATTGTATAATCTGTTAGAAAAGTGGAAGTTAAGGGAGTGATTTTAAAGCAACTGTTTTTTTTTTAATTTTAAAATTTATTTATTTACTTTTAACATTTGGTTTAAAAAAATTTTGAGTTCCTAATTCTATCTTTCCTTCTCACCCCTTCCCCACTCACTGTGAAGGCAAGAAATGTGATATCAATTATACATATGTGAAGTCACGTAAAACGTTTCCATACTAGCCATGTTGCAAAAACATTATGCTTTAGTCTGCCTTCAGACTTCATCAGTTCTTTCTCTGAAGGTGGATAGCATTTTTCATCATAAGTCCTTTGGAATTGTCTTTGATCATTGATTTTGTTTACTTGTGTTCGACTCTTCATGATCCTAGGGACCACAGCACGCCAATACTTTCCACGTGGTTTTCTTAGCAAAGATACTGCAGTGGTTTGCCATTTCCTTTTCCTCTCCATGGATTAAGGCAAACAGAGGCTATGTGTCCAAGGTCAAACAGCTAGTATTTGTCTGATGCCAGATTGAACTGAGTTTCCCCCCCCCTTCAGAGCTAGCGCTCTATCCACTGAGCTTTCTGACTGCCCCATTTGATCATTGTATAATGTTCTTCTGGTTCTGATCGCTTCATTTTGCATCAGTAAGTTTATTTCTTCCTAGGTTTTCTGAAACCATCCTGCTTGTTATTTCTTATAGCACAATAATATTCCATCACAATCATATACCACAATTTGTTTAGCCATTCCCCAAATGATGGGAATCCCCTCAATTTTTAATTCTTTGCCACCACAAAAAGAGCTGCTATAAATATTTTTGTACATATAGATAATTTTCCTTTGATCTCTTTGGAATACAGACCTAGTAATGTTATTGCTGGGTTGAAGGGCATGTACAGTTTTATAGCCTTTTGGGCATAGTTCCAAATTGCCCTCCATAGTGCTTGGATCAATTTACAACTTCAATAGTTGAAGCAGCTCTTTCAAAAGTATACATTAGCTGTGAACATTTTTACTGGCATCCACCTATTCTTCCATTCGTGTTATGTCCCATAGAGAGCCCCATAATGATTTGGTGTTTTAATTTTCTACTGAGGATGGAATAAGAGGAGATTGACTAAAGGATATGGAAGAACAATCTCTTGGTATTAAGGATTGTTAATTAGTAGAATAGGCTATTTAGATGTGGTAGAATCTTTTATTTTGAAGAGCCTTATATTAAGATGTGATGCCTGGTTTATTATATCTCAATTCAAAACTATCGTACCAGGAGGGACTCAAGTAAATTATTTAGTTTTGTACTTTTCTCTATTATAAGAGAATATCGTGCATATATTGTTTAATTGCATACATTAGTATAGGAAAAGGATTTGAGGTTAGAGGACTGGGTCTTAGCTGGAGTTAGACAAAATAGGTGATTTTTAGTGTCCCTTCCAGTCCTATGATCCTGTAATTGACTTTTTTCTTTTCTCTAATAAAGACTCCAAAACTTAGGATGAGTTTTTTGAAAGAATTTCTGGAGGGGCAAGGGTTTGGAAATTAGATGTAAGTAGTGGCAGAGTCAAGATGGTGGAAGTAGAGGGAGCATTTTTGTCTAGCTCACCCAGCACGTCTATTCCGCAATGACCTAGAAAATGCACCAACTTGAATTCTGATTGGGAAAGCCAAGAAAATTCACATTGAGTCATTTTTCAAGTCCAGGGCAGCCTTTAGGCCACAGGTTCCCCAACCCTGGATTAGGGGCTGGCCAGGAAGGCACACTTTGCCGAGCAGCAGTGACTTAGTTCTAGCTTTTAGTCCAGTGTATAAGCTCCAGAACAAAGGGGAGCCAACAGTTCAGTTTCTGTGAACCTGTGTAACCTTCCAGATGGCTAACCATGACAAAGTCTAGCTGTAGTACATTGAAATTCTCAGCCACATTAAGTCTCCAGACTCAAACCTGGGCCAGAAACTTGTAGAGATCAGATAAAGAGTAGTGAATAGCTCTCTCCCTGGATCATACTGCTCTAGAAGCAGCAAAAGGATGTCGAAGGACAGAAGTGCAGGCCATCTTCTCCCTTTACTGTCACTAACAAAGTCCAAAGTCAAGAAGTAGGCCGGAAGAATGAGCAAATTAAAAAAAAAAGAATCCCACCATAAAGAGCTACTATGGTGACAAAGAATGATGTGAAAACATCTACAAGCAAGTCTCAAAGGAAAAAAAAAATTTCAAAAGCCAAAGGAGCGCTACAGAAGAAAGATATGAGAAGAGAACATTAACAACTTGGAAAAAGGTATAAAACCTTACTAAAGAAAAGAACTTGGGGTGGAGCCTTGCAAGATGGCAGAGTAAAGGCAGGGACTCACCTGAGCTCTCCCCCAAACCTCTCCAAATACCTTTGAAAAATAACTCTAAACAAATTCTACAGCAGCAGAACCCACAGAAAGACAGAGTGAACAAAATTTGCAGCCCAAGACAACTTGGAAGGTCAGTGGGAAAGGTCTGTCACACCTGGGTGAGAGTGGAGCTCATTCCAGCACAGGCCACAGCAAACCAAGAGTAGGCCTTGGGAGCCACTGAATCTGCAGTGGCTGCTTCCAGAGCTCTCAGTCCACAGAGGGTAAGGGGGTTGAATAAGTGGTCAGAAGGAGATTACGGAGGTCTTTTTGTTAGCACTGGGACAGGACTTTATTGCTTCGGTCATACTTGGATCCAGGTTGCAGTTCTGGGTGGCAGTCCCAGGGGGAGGAGAGCACTAGTACAGCAGAGCTTGTGGCCACAGTGGAGTGGGGACCCTCCTCACGGTTCCAGGACATCAAAGAATGCTTGTGGTCATTCACAGACCAGAACATAGGCCAGAAGAGTAGTAAACACCTCTCCTTAGATCATAACGTGTTGGAAGAACCGAAAACTTGCTGGTACCTAGAAGTATCTCTGAAAACAGCTGCACAAAACCCCTGAAACTTGGGACAGTTCACTTTCCACCCTGGAAGCAGAGCCCTAGCTTAAAGAGCTAAAAGGTCAGGCTGGGAAAATGAGCAAACAATGGGAAAAAAACAAAACCAAACTGATTATAGAAAGTTACTATGGTGCCAAGGAAAATCAAAACACACCCTCAGAAGAAGACAGCAAAATCAAAGCTCCTACATCCAAAGCCTTCAAGAAAAATAAAAATTGGTCTCAGGCCATGGAAGAACTCAAAAAGGATTTTGAAAATCAAGTAAGAGAAGTAGAGGAAAAATTGGGAAGAGAAATGAGAATGCTGGAAGAAAATCATGAAAAACAAGTCAACAGGTTGGTAAAGGGGACACAAAAAAATACTGAAGAAAATAACACCTTAAAAAACAGACTAGGCCAAATGGCAAAAGAGGTCCAAAAAGCCAGTGAGGAGGAGAATGCCTTCAGAAGCAGAATTGGCCAAATGGAAAAGGAAGTAGTAAGTCCTTAAAAATTAGTAAGGAGCAAATGGAAGCTAGTGACTTTGTGAGAAATCAAGAAATAATAACACAAAACCAGAAGAATGAAAAAATAGAAAATGTGAAATCTCATTGGAAAAACAACTGCCTGGAAAATAGATCTAGGAGAGATAATTTCAAGAATTATTGGAATATCTGAAAGCCGTGGTCAGAAAAAGAGCCTAGATATCATCTTTCAAGAAATTATCAAAGAAAACTGCCCTGATATTCTAGAACCAGAGGGTAAAATAGAAATTGAAAGAATCTCCCAATCATATCCTGAAAGAGATCACAAAATGAAAACTCCCAGGAATATCATAGCCGAATTTCAGAGTTCCCAGGTCAAGGAGAAAATATTTCAAGTAGCCAGAAAGAAAAAATTCAAGTATTGTGGAAACACAATCAGGGTAACACGAGATATAGCAGCTTTTATTACATTAAGGGACAGGAATATGATATTCCAGAGGTCAAAGGAGCTCAGATTAAAACCAAGAATCCCAGCAAAACTGTAATCAATGAAGGGGGAAAATTGATATTCACCAATGTAGAGGAATTTAATGCTAAGTAGAAAAATTGACTTTCAAATACACGACTCAAGAGAAGCATAAAAAGATAAACAAGAAAGAGAAATCATAAGGGATGTATTAAAGTTAAACTGTTTACGTTTCTATATAGGAAGATGATATTTGTAACTCATAAGACCTTTCATTATTAGAGTAGATAGGAGGGCACAGGTGTGAGTTGAATATGAAAGGATATGTAAAAAATAAGGGGTGAGAGAGAGGAATGTACTGAGAGAAAGAGAAGAGAGAGGTAGAATGGGGTAAGT